GAAGACTATCACTAACCCAGAAGCTTGGTACCCTCTCCGGTCCCCTGTAAATGCAGCGCTGAAGGCTGCAGCCGACTCTGAAACAGTCGCCAAAGAGAGCCAGTGGGTACCAACAGCTTCTCCTGAACTAATAGATGTACGTGAATGCATCGCTCCAGACTCTGAGCACGTCGGAGGGCAAACGTAACTTAAAAGTAGATTGAGAAAAAGTCCACGCAGCAGCCGCGAACAGTGATGGGCAGCGAAAGCTAAAGACGTGGAAAAGGCAACGGCTACTGGTAACAGTGGACACTTATTGGGGCTTATCAAGGAAACCGGGGAGAAAAGGCCGACAACAGTTAATGAGACCATAAGGGAGAAGGACGGATCTGCGATTCACCAGCAGGGGAGACGATTAAACGATGGACGGAACACTTGGAGGAACAGTTTAGCTGGCCTCTGGACTCCATTGCATTACCCGCTATCCAGTTGGGTCCTGAATGGAACGTTAAGATAGGCCCTTAACATCGGCAGAAGTTGAGAAGGCAGTAGGTAACCTGAAACGAGGAAGGGCAGCAAGACCAGATGGACTATCTGCTGAGACATACAAGAATGGTGTTGGAGTGCTCTTAGGTTAACGGAACTGTTAACCAGTATATGGGGAGCAAATAAGATCCCCTCTGACCTGTCTAAACCACCGATAATTCCAGTCTAAATAAAGGCGAGAAGTACTCTTGTGATAACCGCAGAGGAATCAGCCTGACGGATACAGAGTCTAAGATTCCAGGTCCTATAATTCTTCGACGCCTGAGTGGAGCTCGGGAACGGCAAGCCCGATAAAATCAAGCAGACTTTAGACCCGGCAGCAGATGTATCGACCAAATATTCAGACTGCTCCAGGTTCTATAACATAGGCGCGCTTGCTGACACCCGACACTAGCTGTGCGTCACGACCTGAAGGCAGTGGCATTCAACTCGGTTGATCGAGAAGTCTTATGGAAACGTTTCTCACTAAAAGGCGTGCCGAGTAAGTACATCACCTCTCTGAAGGCTCTCTACTCGAACACTTGTGGGTGTGTTAGGGCTTACGGTGAGATATCAGGTGAGCTGTGGCCCCCCTCTCGTCACCCGATTACACGGACGTTGACCTAATCGTAGGAGAATTTTCATGAGATCTAGAATATGCAGATGACATGACATAGTCCTGTTAGGCGAAGACGCTGACGAGATGCAGAGTCTTTCGAACACTTTGAGTGACAATTTGAGAATTTTTGGGATGTGTTTCTCATCACCCAGATGCATATTGTTGCTTAGGGATTGGTCTTCAACGGTGCCCCATCGCGGCTAGCAATGGGGAGTGTAGCGACTGAGTGTGTTGACCACTTCACTTACCTGGGAAGTAGGATCAGCCTTGCCCTGGTCGCTCAGTGGCCGATGAAATCTCTGCACGAATACAAAAGGTTCGGCTGACTTTTGCCTACTTACGCCATCTGTGGCGCCACCGCGGCGATATCCGATTGTCTACTAAGGGTTGCGTTCACTGCATAGCGGTTCACTCTGTTCTACTCTATGCCTGTGAAACATGGCCATTGAAGGTGGAAGACATGAGAAGGCTTCAGGTGTTTGACCACCATCGCCTTCGTATTATAGGCCGTATTCCGTGGTGTCACCACGTGAGTAATGCAGACGTCAGGTGTGGAGTTTTAGGGAGAAGAGGTAAGTCACTTGACACAGTTGTGAACCTTCATCGACTGAGATAGTTGGCACATGTGTTACATATGTCTAGTCACCATCCGTCTCGTCACACAATGTTTACCGAAGTAGGTTCAGACTGGAAAAAGGCTCGAGGTAGCCGGACTAAAACATGGCATCAATGTACGAAGTCGGTGACTGTTGGTTTGAGCCATGTGGGGCGATGCAGACTAACCGGTTGGAGTCCGCGGGACAGGAGGAACCAGTGGTTGGAGACTAGGTGATATGGCTCAGAACCGATGTCAGTGACGCAGATGTATGCTCACATAATCCTCATCTTAACGACGCCATACCGAATCACTCCATTTTCTCATTCTTCCTTTCTCTCTTTTCGTACTTTATATTTCTTTTGACTGGAATATCTTTTCTTCATCTTCTTCTTCACTGCCTTGTTCTTGATGTACTGATCTGAGATGTGGCAACTAGGACCATTACGCCGTCATGTTGATTTGGCTGGTGACGGAACATACATTGACAGGATACCCTTCGCCTGCGTTCAACAGTAAATGTTATACGTTTTTCGACTTGAGCCATTATTGTTGTAAGATCATGGCTCAACAGCTAGAAAACCAATATTTGCTGATATACCTGTGATCCTTCCTTGTTTTGCTGGACCGATTCGGTCGGCTCCCGCTGGCAAATGGGCTACTTTGCGCATGTCTTGACGTTGCCTGAATATTTATTGCTATAATTTACGTGGCTGTCGCCAGTAATGAAACCAAAGACTCGCACCCCAGAGACTGTTGCCTCCACAAAAAGTTGGGGATCTAAACAGCCGTGCCTTGATGGCTTAGTGAATCATGCTTCGATGTTCCAGTCTCAGTGGGGACAACATCACTTGCTGGAAAGCAGATACATCCAGCTGAAGAGTCACAGGTGGCATGGAACTCGCGTCTTGAATTCAACTGCCGGCTGCAACCGGGTAAATCTTGGTCCACAAAAAGTTGTCGGATAGAAAATTATTCAAGAGCCACGGGTATTTTAACAATCGAGGATATATGTGCGCCCGTAGATGATAAGTGACCATCAAGGTGAGCAAGTATGATCGGCACCCACCAGATGGAAACTAAGAAATGGTGTAGCTCAGAATAACGGAGATTACCAAGATAAAAAGATTGGCCACATCCCCCGTTTGCATAGAAAGTCGGCTTGTGAGTGCCTGGTTGCGACGGCTTCGGTGAAGCGTAACAAGTTTGATCGTCGTCGCCTGTTTAATATCCTGAAGGCTTCGGAAATATATATTCGGTGCCCAGCTTCCATTGGGTGTCCGGCAATGGCACTCGCAGAAACTCTGTTCCGCACCCAACATATACCTCTTAGAGATGCTCCCAATGTCGAGTGGATTACCGTCTCTCAGTCATCTAAGTGTACTTGCCCCCACAGGTTAGGCGAACAGTAGGTGTTGTCTCGTGGGCAACGTCAAACTAACATCACTATTTGGATTGATTGCAATCTAGTGACAAGCCCTACCTCCACTCATCAAGTACTACCGTCGCCGAGAAGGTTAACTGCCGGCTAATGTATGTGGTGACATCCATTTGATGATTAATGTAAGGTGCGATAATTCGAGCGTTAGGACATGCATTCTAAATAAAGTTATGGCTCGCATCGGACACCTTTTGTGTACAACGGGTTTTGAAAATATCCACTGTAGTGTAAGCCTGTTAGAGTGATGAGCAGGAAGTTGAAATGAGCTGGAGAGCATCACTGGAATCGGTTTATTGGTGTTTCCTATTGCTAGGAAGTGTAATTCAGCATAACATACAGCTGGTTACACACTTCAGACAAATGTGTTAAACCACTGTGGAACCTTCATCTGACTGCAAACTTTATTTATGGTCCCCAAAATGCAGTTATTTTTCTCATCATCTTCAGTATGTTGGTCTATTTGTATCAGACAGTGTGACAGCAGGAGGTAACACCAGGTATTATGATAGAATGTTGTATTGGCTATAGGTCAACAAGTTCCAAATCATCAAGAAGGTAAAACGTGCCCTTTATTAAGGTGTTTTACAGTGTGAAAAATTACAAGTTGAGTTAGGTTAATCAGTGGATGTAATATAACACGCCCGCTTCGCTCCAGTCGGGCTCAGACTTCAGAATGGTCATGAGACTACAGAATCAAAACGGATCGAGGCACTTGGTTGTACACCACCCGATATGCTGAGGATGCGCTTTTGGATTTGACAATATTACATGTTTTGGTTTATCGGTGGCATGCATGTCGATGAGCGTCTCAAAATTAAGAATATATCGCTCCCAAAGAATGATTCCCATACAAGTCCCGTCAAATTGGTCTACATAATCACAGATTTGTTTTGGTTTTGATGAGCTTTTCTGTGTCAGAGATCTGGTTACGATCATATATATTTCTAAGTTGCTGGGTATGATGCACATAAAGCCATATTGCTTTCGATCCCCAAATCACCAAGCTTTAGCTCATGGATGAGGACTCGGTGTGTCTCATATTTTCAATAAGAATCCTAATCAAGACTGGAATGAGAGTGCATCAGCAAGGAGTCATGATCCCCTAACTAAGACAAGTGACAAGAAAACTCTCAGCTGCGTCTGGCATGAGGGACTACTTCCTGATGAAAACAGATTTTAGGGAGTCCGGAAGCTAATGAAAGACTTCTCTATAGGCGTGACCATAACTTTACGGAGATATCAGAAAGGATCACCCCACAAATCGTACGCAGAATAGCTAACTCATCTTCATGATGACTACAAAAATTGGATATTATATCTGAACGGTTTTATGGTTGAAGCGGCAATTTTTCGGAGCATACTCAGTCCCTGACCCAGCTGCAGTCATCAAGTAGTTAGTCCAAAGCTAAAAACCTCTTATCAGGATTTGGACATCTAGTTCCCTCGTCTACTTAGTCACCAGCTAGAAGTTCAGACTGAAACTAGTGTCCTGCTAGACTGAAATCGAGGTGAAGAAATGCCTTCACAAGGAAACAACCAACTGCGTTTGATTCACGGTATATTTCTGAACTGTGAAAACCAAGCCGAATGCAAAGTAAACCCACGAAAACATGAGAAAATAATTTCCATGCACTGACCTTTCAATAAATATCAGATATTAGAAAGTCTGTACACGGATACCGATTTCAGTGGAAGCTGCATGTGGCGTGATTATACAAATAAACTAAATTCAGTGAAAAACGTATCTATTGAACGCTTCAATCTTAACAAAGCCTATGTTGAGCGGTGGACAGTTGTTTGAATCCTTACTTCCATAGTAGTTGTTTCGTTCTTCTACGGTAATGCCAAGACGCAGCACATCTTTGTATATTCGCCATCTCCCAGACACATGCAGGTACGTTTTAGCATCTCTATAGACATTGCATATTTAGGCATGATGATCTGAGACGCTGTTTTGGTCGGTATGGGAGAATCGTTGATGTCACAATCCCCCTTGACTTCTTCACCGGAAGAATGAAGGGTTACGCATTTATTGAATATCCTTTTACTGTGTTACACGTTTTATTTAACAATGTTCATTGCGTTAATGTATCTTATCCAAATGTTTGCCGTATTCGTCTCACAGGCACGGCAAATCCAATCCCAAATCACCCCAGCGATTGGTCACAAGTGATCGGCTCAGTTGCCAATCAGTTCCAAACAGTCAATCAATAATCGTAGGCTCAGTTCGTCACTAAATAAACAACAAGTCTAGTTGAGCAAGGTACATGGCAGCTCACGTACTTTCAAAGTACTCAGTGGTCAAAGTATTCATATCAATCCAATCCAAATAAAACTCAAACCAGTTAAAATTACAAATTTTCACACAAACCAAAACTGTGTCGGGAATAGATGGTTACCAATTGGAGCTGCCAAGCTAGTTCAATCTAGTCCAATATAGTAATTGTTTGCTAACAAATCTAAGTTGACAAAATTCAGGGCAGTCCCTCAACCAATCCAGGTACAATGACATAGGATCGCGTTTCAAGTTACGTTTTGGTGAGTTTTTGGATGTATTTTTGCTTTTTTATGTCCTTAACTAACTGCTAACGTTCGAGAATCCTAGAGACGCTGAAGATGCCCATTACTACATGGACCATACACGGTTCATGGGTCGTGATATCGAGTCGAGTTTACCAGGGGTTATCGCAAAAGTAAGGATACTTCAGTTTCTAAGTTCGTTGTCTTGTGTATTTCTGTAATCACTTTTTGGCTCATCCAGCCAAGTATCCATTGGGAATCATTTCAAAACATAAGCTTAATAGGTCAATAGAATTCTGCATGCAGCGCCGGCCGTGTATAGTTAGGTATCTAAATTAAGATGAATGTGTCTGGAGCTCACTGATTGTGTTTTTGTTTGTTTAATTTCTACGGACAGCTCCTGCTGAAATGCGTTTGAAGGAAAGGCGTGAGGAGCCCAGCCGCGGTGGGAGAAGGTATCGTTCCCGGTCCCGTTCCAGGTGAGTTAAGTGATATCGAGTAATGTATACGCTCTCCAGGTCTCACTCCACTTCCAGGCAGAAAGGTATGGAGCCATATTACCGTCGACCAAGTGAACGCCGAGATGATTCACGAAGACGGGTGAACAATGTGCGGTCCAATCGATCAGCATCTAGGTCCAGATCTCCCACCAGGTCTAGATCAGCAAGCCAAGATGGTATGGATAATGGTGATGAAGTACGAAAAGGGAGCCGGCGTAGTGATCGGAGAGACAACCGTGCTGTTTCTAGAAGTCCTGCACACAGGCGTGGTTCCCTATCGCGATCCCGTTCCGGTTCATATTAATCATGTATATCCCATAAATGTTTACACCATTTTTGTCTCTCCCTTTTAATACATTTATGAACACATTAAACTAGGACGTATTAATGTATGGTTATGTGCTTCGCTGCTGTCTACGGGTTAGATCTTGAAGGAAACGGCAAATAACATAACGCAGGTGTGATTAGTTTTTGGACGAGTTTGACCGGAAATTGTGTCAACAGGGTTTGGTAACGTAGAACGAGTTGATAGTGTGTACCGTTGGCAAGGTATGCCATTATAAGAGAACTACAAACTAGGTTACAAGATTCACTGTTTATAGCGCATGGGAATAGCAATGGTGGTGTCTTTCAAAGTGTAGTACTGGTGACCACTGGGGTCAGCGGTCTCATTGATGGGCTTGGGTAGAAGTGCTAGTAACTCAGTTGGTCGTCGGCGGTACATGGCTAGAGATAATTTGGGGGATTAAATGCAATGCTGGGTACTGCCACACGGAGTCCACAGCTGGTCCGTGTTGTCATACACTACGGTCGAACTAAAGTATTGAGGGCACTTTGTGCTCTCAAGCAACTGTTTTGGGAAGGTGCAAACGATGTGTGGTTATCCTCAATGGGGCGTCTTTCAATCTGCGTGACAATTTTCCATGGGCACTAAGCCAGCCGCTAGGTATCCGCATACTCGGAAGGTGAATTCCGAAGATCCACTCTTAAGACCGTTAAGTCAATTTGAAAACCGCACTTGGGCCCTGTATGTGCGTCTGAAACGCAAAATACATTCATGGCTAGAGGTTCCACAGTTTTGGTGCTTCCTGTACACCTTGGTAAGGAGTTCAGGCGTTGAGAGCTCCTAAGTGAAGTTGACGGTGGGGTTTTAGGGAACTAGCAACGAGGTTCCCATGGAGTTGGCCGTTTGCAGAATGGAAGGTTGGGGAAAGTGTAAAAGCCCTAACATTAGTATCGGGAAGTAAAGGCAACGGAGGGGACAGTCGGGGAGCATACGTTGTGTCTTGTATACTGCCGGTAGCGTGCGGTCAGTCGACACTTCCCGGCTGCCCACAACGTGAAATGCGGTATCTTAAAGTACTTGGAACAAGATTAGTTCGGTCTCAGAGCCCACGGGACACCTTTTTTTTAGGCCTGTCATACTCGGCTTCCCGTGGGATGTTTTGAGGTCTGGTTATTCTAACCCCGGATAGACAGGACCCATACCGATGGCACCGAAAGGTTGTCGGTGTTATTTCCGGAGTCGACCTTTTCTATCCTCTTCCTATAGGGGGGGTAGCAGTGGCATGGGACTTCTGGCCACCCAAGGAGAACACCTTTCTGCCGCCAAGCCCTACCCGGCAGAAGAACAGCTTCACCTTCGGACCCCCGCCATCGTGTGGCAGTTTACACCACAACAGTAACTACTTTTTGCCTCTCCACTATCCAGCAGGCTCTTCTTGCATGGTAGCACCTCGCAGGGATAATCGTCTCACCAGAACAGCCCGTTGGGTCGTTGTAATACCCGAGTCAGCGGCCATCAGTCGGGCTAGTAATACTGCCTGTCTGCCCAGACCCTAACCGGTGGAGCGGAGCTCGAGCCCGTGGACCGAAGTCCTACAGTAATCTCCTTCTGTGTACGTTCCTTCGCACTCCTTCACATAATCGAAGCAGTTGGTATTGAGGTCATGAAGCCAGATGTGCCTACAGAGAAACCTTTTCTCAAACATTCATTCCCTGCATCTTTAATAACACTGGCGTTACTATCGTCAGCTATTCCCCTTTGTAAATAACAACCGGGTTTTACCTGCGCAATTTGCTACTAGTACTACGGTAATCTCCCGTTTTACCTTAGTTTTCATTTATCTGTTCATAATAAAGTCCTCATATATTCCAAAATATTTAGAAAATCAGCAAGGTCTTTCTCAATGTTTCGCTTTCTGTCACTGGTTCGTTGTTCAGAAATAATCAGTCTGAATTACATACAGAAATCACTGTTTGTACCACATGACCACATACATCTTGGTATTTCATAAAAATCCGATTATTTGGCTTAAGGAGTCGTAGCATATCTATCGAGACGTTCAGAAAAATCTTGTTTCAACTTTTGAAACAGGCTGGGATCAAGACATAAGGACTAAGTCAAACTAGGCGCTCAAATCCTTCCAGGACATTCGTAATAATTACGGACTGGATGTGTTATTTTCCATACCGGGTGATAATCGAAGGTAGGATGGAAATCTGGGTCACGGCAGGATCCCAACCAGCTGCCTCCAAGATGTCTTTCGCAACCATACTGGTGACTAACCGGTCCGGTGCATCTCCTAAATGTAAATCCTTAAGGTCAGGGAATATGGCTTCAAGAAAGTAGTATAAATCTTCTAGAACATTGTGGTTTGTAGAGGTTTGAGTGGACCCGCAATGTAGCGCTTTGAGTAATCAACGTTTAGCCGGTTATGGGCTCAGGTTTCACTAAGACGACTTGTGTATGCAGCCAGATGATGTAATGAACCTGCGCACGGTGTTTATGGTTTGCCGATTAATACATAGTTGTTGAGTGGTACACCGAAGCATCACAAAAAGGCACGTTTTATAATTATTTATTTGCATACATAATGGAAGTTCCCGACATGGAAAATCAAACAAAAAAGTCATATGGTTAAAAAAAAGCAGGACTGAGAAATATTCCAATAAGCTAAATTATAGAGTAAACATTAGAATACTCCCAATGGTGTTAGCGATTGGTCCAGGAAACGACGTTTACCAAAGCACAGCCACCACTGTTGTGAGCGATAAAATAAGTTGAGATTGGAAATAAAAATGAGAGAAATGAGTTACTGCTTGATATTTATGTATATAACAATAATAGCAATGATAATTAAGTCTGCGCAAAGTCTACATTTGAACTAAATCAGGCAATATGGAACAATCGACCATGATAGCACATATCCATCTACACTACACCCTAGAGCATTTGCAAAACACATTGTCATTACTTTTTAATTCTTTAGTTTGCTGACTTCCATGTTGATGACAAGTGAGCGGCGATATGAACCGAAATGTAACTATCCTGGATCGCCCATATTATTTATGTTTGCTTGACTAGACGATATAAATGTCTTTTAGTGAGTTGTTACCTGATCAAAGCCAGTGAGGTACTAGGAACATAAAACTAAGTAAAATTATAGGAAATCTAATACAATACCAAAGATGCGTAAAACCTTTGTTTACCATTAAATTGCAAACCTTTTTTGTTTCGCATTTGATTATTTCTTATTCATCCTTATTCTGCCTTGTATTGATCTTCAAGTTCCATCCTCTTAGTACGCTTGTTGACAGCTTTGGTTGACTTTTAAGTCAGATTCAAGCAGTCAGTTTGAAATACACAAATAATTGACACCTTTATATTGTTTTATTTGCCAAACAATACATTCCACTTATTGCGAGCTTTTAAATACAATCCCGAACGTCTTTTTTAAGTTTTGAAAAAAATTATAAAAGACTTCATCAACATTCAGTTCTGCAAGCTTTACAATCCAATTTGCTAATCTCCTGAAAACCTAATCCCTTTAACTGATATTATTTATATCAAATTGTGACGTCACTGCTTCTTATTGTACACAATGCATATCTTGAAGAATTGTGAAGACCAACCGCTTGGAAAACAAAATACTTATTGATTTAGACTACGAAATTTTGAGGAATGATATGTTGCTACTATTGAAATTATAAAATAAATTTACAAGGATCCATTTTAAATCGATTTTCGAATGGTGCACGAACAAGAAAGCTTGGAAATGCAGTACAAGGAACAGACTAAAATGATTAACAAGTTAATTATCCATCTAGCATATGTAAAACCAGTGACAGGTCAGAGATTATCAGTTATAAAACCTTCAGTGTGCATAAAATAAAATAAGTGGCTGACGAAAAATCTTCATCCATGGATTAGGAAGTCTTGTTTGCGCCATCCGATTTAAACATGTGAGGCATACAAATCGAAATGTACTCAGTTAACTTGTACACATCCATGCAGTAGACAACAAGCCTCGTCTATTGTGTGAGGGCTAATGATACTAATGATAGCTACCCAAACCTAGGTTTGGGTGGGGGTGGAACTTGAACTCGTGACCCATCGGTTGGGACTCATCTGCTTAAACCAATGGGCCGTAGCTCCATGAGACATACAAAACTGCCCACTTCCGATCATTAGTGATTTTAATGCATCATCTACATTTCCAAAAGTTGGAAACCCATTAAACAAAACAACGAAAGTAATGACCGTGGAAAACATTGTAGTGCAAGTAAAGCGTCAAAGAGACAACACTACGCAACTTTATATGCAAGTATTGTCACATTTCACAACAGTACAGAAGGAGAGGAAATCGGGAAATATTAAAATGAAGAAAGGAATAATTTAAGGTGATGAATACCTTCATCCCACTGCAATATACTTTCAAACGTCTCCAACCAATGATTCCCAACATCAGAATAACCTGTTAGATAGTTCACCGTCACCTAACCATCCCTGATCTATAAGAAACTCTTAGCACTTTTACTACACCAGGCCCTAATTACTCTTAATTCTTCATATTTTAGGCAGCTATACGGCCATAATCGCACTAGCTGGTGTGGCCCTACAAATTTATACCAAATGTCAACATTCTCCACTCTGTTGCTCTATTAAACCCAAAACAACTAAGATGCGAATGGCTCAGTGGTAACGTCGCTGGTCATAACACTGGGCGACGCTGGCTCGGGCCTCACAGGGGAAGTCATTGATTTCTTTCGAGGTTCTACACCCCTTACTAACGAGTGCCAACAAGCACGAGCTTAATGCCGATTACCTCCAACTAACTAAGGACTTGCTGTAGGAAAGTTGGAATATCCCTCAAAACTTTATGTTAAATTTTAGGCATCCTGTTCGGTGTTTATAAATGGTCTGTTTTATTCTGTGGCAATTTCGCAAGCTATGATTTTTACTTAGTCAATCTCTCCAATAAATCTGAACTCCTGCTGACAATACTATTTACTTTAATTTCAAGGTTTGTGCGAATTTATTGATTTCAAGTTTGATATTCATCATGGACTGAAATCAGTTACAAATACAGTGGAAACCTGGAGCACTGGACAGCTGTTTAGTCCTTGTGTGGGACTCCTCAGAAGTGCGCACTAACCTGAAATCAATAAATCGCCGAAACTGAATTAATCTAGTGATCATTGGTGACTAGCTTCGAGAAGTGATTCCCAAAGTCCTAATGAGAAGTCATGACCAGTTGGGCAAACCAAGTCAAACATGACGACAGCATTAGATGGAGGTCGCGCTATATCATGAACTGACAGAGGTAGGAAATATGGACCACTGGATCCCAACCCAATGGCTCCATGATAACGTGCGGGCCTGAGTTCGACCCTTGGTGGGGTCGTAGGTGTGCACTGCTGAGGACGAAACAGTTGTTCAATGTTCTCAGGTTTCTAATGTTTCTCCAAGTGATGTCAGTCCATGATGAATACCAACGTATACTAATCTAGTGTTGATACGTTTTCAATTTTCTTAGCTTCCGGCGCTATGCAATGATGCTTGTGATCATAATCAAAACGCTTTCACTTTAAAACTTTATTCAGAACAGAACTAAGGTAGGACAATATTCTTAGCTGACGAAACTGTAACACAACACTAGATAGGTAAAACAGTTACCACTGAACAGTAATGGTAACAAATTTTTTGAAGAGGAACAAATAAGTAGTCATACAGAATTTAAAGTGAAGTTTCTAAAAAATACCGAACAATACACTTAAGTTAAATTGATGTTAGATGACTCCTGAATATGTATCGTTGCAAACTGATCGAAAGCTGTTGAAAAACTACAGCAGGTTGAATAGATTTATCAACAAGAGTTAATTGTGAGTTCATGAAACAACAGATTGGTTCCTAAATATTAATAGGTAAACCTTCGTAAATGAAATATGAAAAATATGTCAGATTTTGTAACTCATTGATTTCGAACCAGTAGGTCTCAGACTGGAGCACCGCTCCGTCTCACCTACTATGGGGTTTGGGCAGTTAGGTAGTATCATTAGTCTTCATCACACAATAGTGTGGCCCTTTGCCTATTGTAAAAATGTGCACAAGGTTCCAGAGAGCATTTCGCTTTGAACAGAAGTACATCACATCATCCAATAGGTACAATGGTATCAGTGAGTGTTATATCAAATGAAAGAAAATTAATATGGAACAACACATAGGTGCAGACCTGCAAAATTTACCTTACTCGGTGGACCACTGTCGTCACAATATACTTTATCTAGTAATCGCACACCCAATTCTTGTCTCAGTTGAGTTAGATAGCCACGCATTGTTTCTATTTCCATAGAATTCTTTGGCTTAGCATACATATTGTTTAGTTCTCTAGGGAAATCTGGATCACCTGGTATGTCGAAACGACTAACAGCCAATGCACCCAATTCTTTTGCTCCAACAGTCCTATTGGGACACTTAAAACAAGCATAATGAGAGCAATATATATGACATTACTGTTATTATCAAGCATGATGAATAAATTCACAAAATAATAACTGATCGATAAAGACTCGTACTGACCAACTGTATTGAATAATATTTCATGCACAAAATAATAATTAAACAAATAAAATTATTTGATTATTTACTGTATGATACTGAAACATGATTCTTTCGAGCGTGATGCGTTTTATGACCTTAAATACAACTAATCCATGACTCAGTGGCAGACAGGTGAGAATAAGAGCAGACCATTGTCCATTCACAAATTCATTAACAGCTAAGGTAATAAGCTACAACCAAACATCTTCAATCTTACAAAGTCACATGTCGAAAATGGGCAGGATAAGCTGCATGATATGCTTTTACTCCACATCAATGTATCAAATATTCTATCGGATTTGTCAATAATATGTCGTTTGAAATTCCTACAATTTTGTAGTAATGTCATTCTCAAAAAAAAAGCCAATATGCATCAGAAGCTAACCAGTTCACTTGACAGTAAAAATCATATTAACCATTTCCCTGTTAACCCGGATAAGTACGTTACTAACCTTTCTACAGTGACACTGTCCACCTATCAGAAGGAAGCCCTATCCCTTGGACTTAAATTTTGTGTTCCTCGAAAGCAGTCATCAGATTTGGCTACCCATGCACAGTTTGAAAACCTATACAACCAGTTGAAACCTCTCGTCCCAACTTCAATTGAGGACCAGGGATGGCTGAAAGCCAAGATGGTGGATATCGCCCACCAGTTTTGTGATAGCCATCAGAACCAGAAAAGCATTCTAACTTCTGAACATTTCAGAGCTATGAAGGAACTACGAGAGAACCCTGATATTATTATCCTCAGACCTGACAAAGGCTCAGGTGTCGTGATCATGGATAAAATCGAATATAAGTGTAAAATGTCATCGATTCTTGAAGATGAAAATAAATTCACTAAGGATTGTTCTTCAGAAGACGTACAATTGTTACAGGGAACTGTGACCGCTAATCTAGTGAAACTGCTCGAAATGAACGTCATTACCAGTCAAAAATTCGCCCTACTGAAACCAACTGAATCCCGATTCCCACATCTTTACGGTTTGCCCAAAGTACATAAACCCAACAACCCCTTACGTCCCATAATGTCAATGTGTAAGTCGCCAACGCATAAGCTTGCCCAGTGGCTAGTGGAGTTATTGGATCCCATTAAGAAGCAATTTTGTAAGTATTCCTTAAAAGATACATTTGAAGTAATCAAATGCCTTGAGCATGTCAACATAAAGAGTAAATTTATGTGTTCATTTGATGTTAACTCATTATTTACCAATGTCCCTTTGGTCAAGACAATTGACATTTTATGTGGTTATATTTCTGTGCATAAGTTTCCGATACCCATTACTTTGGATCACCTAAAACAGCTGTTACTTTTATGTACAAACAATATTAAATTCACCTTTGAGGGCGAACATTTCCGCCAGGTTGATGGTGTCGCTATGGGAAGTCCTTTAGGTCCCCTCCTAGCCGACATATTTATGTCACACGTTGAGAACTTAGCCGAGAACTTAATAGACCAAGCCCATCTGTATCGAAGATATGTTGACGATATCCTGATTATTTGTGAAAACTCAAATCAGGCTACTTCAATTCTAAACCGACTGAACGAAGTACAGAACAGCATATCTTTGACATGTGTAAGAGAGGAAGATGACTGCTTGCCGTTCCTAGATATATTAATTAGTCGAAGGCAGGATGGATCCATAAAACGATCTATCTACAGAAAACCTACATGGACAGGGCAATATCTGAATTACCATAGCTTTTGCCCAGTTCAGTACAAGCGAACGTTAGTAAGGTGCTTATTCAGCAGAATTCAACGAATATGCACCGAGGATACTTTAGAAGATGAAAGAGGAACACTGACCGATATTTTGTTGGAAAATAACTATCCATCAACATTTATCAGGCAGAACAAAATCAGCAGAGCGTCAAAACTAGAACTGCAGTCAGTCCCAAAGAAGGATGTCTTCATCAGCCTTCCGTACAAAGGTGACTCTCAGAGTGCAATCCTTAAGCAGAGACTTAACGCTGCTGTTAGAAGGACTTACTATGCAGCCAGGGTTCGAGTAATCGAAACCACGAAGCCCTTATATTCCCCCAAACCCCCACAGCATGTGAACGATAATGTCACATCCCATTGTATCTACCAATTCAAATGTACGTGTGGTGACACATACATAGGGAGGACTAATAGATCCATGCAAGTAAGGGCCTCGGAACATATTCCAAAGTGGCTTCAGAAGCAAATTAAATCACCTGAACCTATAAATGTTAGTAACAGACGTCCAAGTTCTTCGATCGCCAAACATATCATTGAGACAGGTCACAAGATTGATGTGGCTACTTCCTTTACACCTATTTACAAAACATGTTGGGGAGGGATCCTGAAATTTGTTGAAGCCTTGGCTATTACGAGGTTGAAACCACCTTTATGTGTTCATAAACAATTTGTTGTCACATTAAATCTTCCTTGGTAAATTCAACTATTGAAAAACCAAGTTCGATGTACTATTATTTTTTCGCTCTATTGATTTTCACTGTTATTCGGCCTTTAAGTCAGCCTTCCCACCTGACCCCTTTTCATTTTCTCACCCCTTATCTTCATGAGTTTTTATATAAATACCTATGACAAGTACGTGTGTGATCAGATAGTTCGAAATGTGTTGCGCAAATACATTACACGGTTCAGACAATTTATATCTTCTTATTGTTTTGTCGAAGTTTATAAATGGAACTAATTGTTTTAAATTCCTGAAAAATAATAGACCGCAAGTACACAGTATTCGTAAAATAATAACCATTGAAATGCTTTTCTAATACACGGTCGCTCTAATTACTGAACAGTTGATTTTCTGAGAAATGAGTGTATTTCACTATAATATATAACACTTATTTCTCGATAACTTGCATAAAATCGAAGACGTATACTCTGTCCGAGTAATACTAATGAAAAGACTTGAAGACAGCTCTCGTCATGAACTCACATTAGTTAGGGAATCAATGAGAAACCACATAACTGTCCAGTAGCTAGTTTGGAAGCGGAAGGTAAAGATTTTTAAACTTCAATCCATTCGCCGCACAACTCAGTGGTTTGTAGATCCCCAAAACCAGCAACCAGAACAGATATCCACCGATGATACCGGTCAGTTGAGCTATATTATCAATCGAACCTAGTGACCCAAGGACCTGAACACCTTGGATTGTCTCACGTATCAGGTTGTGAATAAACACTGCTGATAGGTGTAACGCAAAGATAAAAACAAGAGCACATTGCTCCCTAGCTTTTACTAATTTCAGTTCATGATGACTTTTTTTTCAGACGTATATTTCCTACTTTAATAGAAAGCAACGGTTAATAAGGTCTGAACAATAATGAATCATGTAGTAATGATGGATAGTCGCTAGTAGTAGAATCCAGAGCGCACGTTTCGTCCTGTTTGGGACCCGTGAGTTGAATGTACCTTCCTCCCAGTGTGCAACAATATAATAATGAATTGGACTTAAGGCGTAACAATTCTCAACGAAGTAAGGAGATAAACTAAAGTGTAATAGAAATAAACGTATAAGGGAACAAAGTGACTAACTAAGGTATGATAATAGCACATTCACGCTTTTTAAAAAGCATCTGCAATTACATAGTCAAACACTTAAACAGAGAATGAACAATATTTTTGGAAGAATAGCATGGATCCATTTCATTTCGCTGTTTTGTATCAGCTGCTTACAATGTAAAATAATTTTACCGTCTATTCACACAATATGTTTTCACACTTGAATCAATTTGATAGGAAATTATCCGCTTGAAGAAAAGATAACATTGATATGACGTAATTGAAGACAGGAATTGAGTGGATAAATAGATAAGAACGAATATAAGGTTTGTGCATATATGGGAAGATTAGACGGATATTCTAGAACAGAAGTTGGACAAAAAGGAGACAAGTCTATTCCACATTCTGATATCCTGAAACCGCCCAAACTAATTAATAAGTAGGTGAATCCGAACTTGATGTGTTCCAAGTTGTTATTGATCACGGACTGGCACCAGTTGGAGAAGCACTGGAGAGCTGTTTCGCCTTAGCAGTGCGCACTCATGACCTCATCAGGGGGTCAAACCCAGAAACTTAAGGTTCCGCTGTCAGTACGTCTGTGATGAATAACAACTTGAAATCAATAAAATCCTCACAAACCTCCAAATCAATGAGTGTTGACGAGGCAGTAGTCATTAGAGCCGATCTTATGTATTCAGGAACAAACAGTTATCAGTCTGTGTCTACCATAGTAAAAACTTTTGTGTTGTAGATTATGAATATGTTATCTTAGTTATTATTATCGATTCATATACCTTGATTGTTATTCATTTCACTTTCTTGACCCTATTGTCTGAATTCTACTCATCTTGTTTTCTTAGGTAGCGTAGATCCTTTGACCTTTTCCACATATATTTTACATTTTTCTCCCCCCTTTTTTCTGACCAACATCTGCACTACAGTATTCATTCACTCAGTTTATATGTCTTCAATTACGTCATATCAATATCATCTTTTCTTAAGGCTGATAGTTTTCCATCAAACTGATCCAACTGAGTATGCACACACTTTGTTACCGATCGTGGTCCACATTTTCATTTCACCTTTAATCATCGCCCAGTATCAATACCAGTCTGCCAAACCACGATTATCTCAGATAGCCAAAATGATGCTCCCCCTTTTTAATTCAGTTAGATTTGGATTCGGATGAAAAGTCCCGACCAGGCAGGTAGTGTGAGTACGACAACGCGACAGTAACGCGTCAAGAGTTTATATGGTAGCCGGCCAAGACCCTTGGTGATTGAAGTGAAACGAAAATCCGATCAGCAGTCGGACCTCGTAGCTCAGTTGGTAGAGTATCAGGTCGGAAAACCGGTGGTCGCCGGTTCGAATCCAGCTACAGTCCAAATTACCTCATTAGTTCAAAAGGTAAAATTTAATAAATGCTTGATAGCCAAGCCTTTCCAAAACTGATTTTCATCAGAAAATAGGTCACTATGAATAGCACAAGTTAAAAAGTAAATAAGACGATCGACCTATTATGTACTATAACTTGGTAGTATGTAAACACTAACAGCGTAACGACGAATCATTGCATTGACATGACCATTAGTCATTAAGTTATGAGTTGATCATTACTTCAATACGGAAAACAATAGAGCTATATGCATACCTTTTGTAATTTTCTCAGGCACTCCAGAATATATAAAACTAGGTATACAAGTACACGATCAGCTTCACTCTACAACAAGAAAAGAAACGGAATCAATCATTAACGATGCCTGGAAGTAAAACTGACATAAAAAGCTAACAACTAATAGATGAATTTATTTATCTGAACTATAGACAATATATTCGGAGACAAGTTAAAAAGGACTTAGTAGTATATTTGTTGCCTTGATTTCTACTGAATAGTTGGAGCATTATTTATGACATCGAAAATTTTACAACTGTATGTAAAATCCATTTTAATGTATCACTTGAGTAAACCGATTAGCATTGCATTTTTATCACTTACTATCAAATTGATTCAACTATACCAACATTTTGTATGATTTGATAATAAAATTGTTTTAGGCTGTAAGCAGTTGGTGAGAAGCTGTGAAATGAAATGGATCCACGCTATTCTGTTAAAATGATTGTTCGCGTTCTACTTATCCTTTTTAAACTAGTCGACTAATCTAAGAGTCTGAATTACTGTTTTGAAAAAATAGATAAACCATTTAAAATCCAGTTATATTATTTCACGAAATGTCTAATTTAGCTCAACTAAATTCAATAATTCAATGTTATATTTACTCACTCTTTATTACCAATGTAGAGTAGCGATAAAGTTATGTGCCACTGTTGAACTATTTGATTCGTTAAGAACCACTTAGGCTGACCTGTAGAACTTCGTCAGCTAGATCAGAGTGATCTAAACACTGGGTTGCCGTTTCGCTCGTTTGAGGCCAAGTTTACCAGCGGTGTACCCGAACAAATTCATCTCATGGAGTTAAATTAGTTTAGATCACCTGAAACTGGTTAGTTGAATGGCATGGATCGATATACCTAAGATAGGATGGTCAATTTGCAAATGATTTACAAATTATACGGTCCACGTTGACATTTCTGAACAACTTTTCAGTTCATCATTAGGAAAACCATGAACTGGTTAAATTTCAGGCTCATAAAAAATCACAATCAATATTGACCTTCAGCTTAATACAACCGACAGTAGATTCAAAGTCTATTCCATTAAGCTAAGATTCTGTGATACTGTTTACATCCCTAAACTCGTTAGTGAAAGTGATACAAACATCAAGCAGTTCGAATGATGAGGAAATCCATTAATGATGGTTAACTTTTGGATGTAGTTTATCAATGGTCTTTACCGCTGTTACTACAGCAGACGCCACACCAGGTTTCCCCAGGATGAGCATTATTGCCATGGTCAGATAAAACCCTAGCTAATTCCTCTCTAAATCCATACTTCATGTCCTCATCTTCCTGTCAACGAAAAGCAGAGGCTTTACTATGACTCGTTTCCTTAGACTAGTGAAAAGTATACAACAATTGCAAAACAAAATCTAAAAAGAGCTAACAAAATTCAAATAAATCGACAATCGCATAAGTTATTACAATGAATTCTCCGAGGTCAAGGAAAACACCAAAATGCACTCGACAACTTTGTGCACATTGGTGCAGTAGGCAATAAACCACACCTACTGTAAAAGGATTAATGATACTACCTGGTTGCACAAACCTCGGTAGGTGGAGAATTGTTAGAACCCGTGACCCAGTGATTGAAAGTCGACTTCCTAGACTAATCTCCGATGCATTAAAAACTACACTACAAGTTTGATGCTTTGGGCACTGACGCTTGGTTCAATACATAAGTGATGAATAGGTTGTAGGATGTGCCTCTACTACACAGTTATTTATGAAACTATATTAGGTTGCATTCTTCTATATAGTTCTTCAGTAAGATATGTAGGAAACAGAGTATGAAGTGAATACGTATTTTCGGTAAATTCTCGTTACCCTTTACAAGTATATTACGTTATCAAATGAATATGCTGGATAACATATAAATATAATTGTAAAGCCCAACAAGAATTTACCAGAAAGATGCCCCCCCCTCACTCACTGGTGTGTAAGTGCATCCAGCTGACGAGTCAATACCAAATAGGACGAAATGTGCGTCCTGGATTCCTCTACTAGTCACCTAGATCAATATAACAGAAGACCTATTTCGCCTGATTATCTGGATGGTATCAACAAAGGTAACACAGTATACTATGTACCGTTTATTGTAGTGCTTAAAAGTTACTTATTTCTGCCTTAAGATGCCTATAATAAATACTTTATCATGAAGGTATAACAAATTAGACAATACACCTGTTTCTATTACCACAAATCGATTAGTGATCATAATCAACGAATTTTGATTTACTAGTTAATACTAAATAAAATATTCTAGTAATTTAGTTGTAAAGTAGTAAATATATCGTTATATTTAATTACAAACAAAACAAAAAAGCCTAACATACAATTTACATCAAAAACGACATAGTAACAATGTGTATATAGTGTGAGTGTATAACCTGCATGTATAAAATGCTGAATTTTATCTGGATCACATAGGATGAGTAAAACGCAATGATGTAGATATAAACAGAAAAATGAGTGAAAAAAATATCTACTTAACCAACTAATCTATACGTCAATTCGAATATTTTTTTTGAGTCACTCTAATTCTATAACTTTAACGATGATATATCTCAAAAACATAGAGAAATTGAACATTAATACTTGGTCGTTGATAGACAGGTGGATGATGGTCGTCTTACATAAATGGTAGATGAAACGGTTTCGAAAATCTCAGTTCAGCATACTACCTACATGATGAAATTACCCTATTCATCAGTCTATTGGAATCAAATCAACTAACTGAGTAAATGAGGCTTTCAACACACCTAATGACTGCAATTTTAATGGTTGATTTAGGCACTGATAAGAAATAGAACCAGATCATCTTACACTTGGCAGGAGGTAAAAACATATCAAAAATATTTTCATATTATTATTGGATCTATTTCTAAAAAAAAGTGGAGATCAAGTAAAAAACTTAGATGGAAGTTATGACAGTGAGTATGCAGAACAAAAACCACTAGTTGCTGTTATCACATATAACAGCTTTCTGTAGATCTTAACACAGTTGTGTTAGACTGAGTAGAAAATGTAGATTGATATAATATACTTGCTCAGATTATCCTTTACAGTCACAAGACGTTTGATTGATGGAGCAAGGTGAAGCTTTTAAGTCGTGGAGGAATATAGCTACTATGAGGTGCGATAGCTTGCATCCATCCTCACACTGTGATGCTGGCTCTTCAGTTGATACTGATTGACTGTGAGATAGCAGTAATGTTTGTGACCGAAGACCCAATTTGGTCATTACATTATCATTTCAAGGTAGTATTCATCGCGGGCTGACATCGATTGGAGAACCAGTGAAGACCTAGTAGCGCTCGACAGCTGTTCTATCCTAGGGTAGGACCCTCAACAGTGTGCACCCCCAACATCGTAAGGGATCCGACCCAGGACCCTCAGGTTTCGCAGTGAGCACGTTACCACGTGTTCAGATCCCTAGGTGTGAAATTATGTGACTGTAAATAACTTGTGAACGACTATAGATCCTAAGATTTCAAAAACTTTTGGTCAGACTATATCCTTTTCAATCCTCACAAAGGTAATTCTCGGTTTCATCATAAACCGAAATGATTGACAATTCTTGATGGATTGAACAGAAATTTCGACGAAAGAAACGTCCGTCAGTCAATGAAGTAGTAAACTTACACGAACAAGGACGCGCTATAAATGCCAATGGATCACCTGTCCTTATGTCCAATAATTAATAGAAAAATAAACAGCACTAAAAAAAAAAGAATTAGCGAACGCTAGTTTGTGTTACATAGTGACTGGTGTCCTCGAGATATTAGTAGCACCAGTAACAACCGGCTATCTATGGGATGCTCTTAAAACAACCACAGTGGTACAAACTCATTCACCTTTCATCTATGCGGTAAAGATGTGGTCGATATATTCATTGAGAAGTCTGAAACTTGATATTCTTGGGTTTGTTACTCCAGAATTCCAATTAGGCGATGGATGATTACGAAATCTAGAAGTTCAGAGAGGATCTTCGTCAAGCAAATCTATTCTATGCTTATCGCACAATGATTTTCCTGTTTTATCCAAGACTGGGGCAATCAATTGAGATCGATCACAGTATCACGTCTAGCTAATACCTTGATCAGTCTAACTAATCATCCTGGAAAGCTGATGTTGAACATTTCTGAAGTTTTGAACAAGGTAAAGCAGTCGATGAAAACGTAAGCATAAATCAATTTAAACGGTTTCAGAAATTATATAAAAAGATATGTAAGCGAACAATACTGTTTCCCATTAGATCTCATCAGGCTTCACTCTAATACACATAACTTTCAATGTATTTATAGAATATCAATCTGCTTTGGTCAGGGAAAACCTAGTGAATGAACTTGCTTGTGAATTTTAGGATTTACTTCTTCCCCTTTTTATTTTGTCACCCCACTCACATCTCTACTATATTCACATTCAGATTTTATTTATTCACCACCTTCATCTTCCAGTATCATACAATCTTATAGTCCTTTTGAATCTTTGACCTGCTTTAATGTTGTTGCTCATATTATCCCATCGTTGAGTGGACCGAACTGATCGGTCTATATTGACCTATAGGTTCCTGCGCAGATGCTTCAATATTGCCTGTTTGAATTATGTATTAATGATGGATAGTGGCTAGCAGTGGAATCCAGTACGCGCATTCCGTCCTATTTAGGACTCATCAGCTGGATGTACTCGCCTCGCAGTGTGCCGGACGTTGTTCTCGCCAAGACTTGAACTCGAGATCGATCGCCTTAAACGCCAGAGCGTTATCCACTGTACCACCAATTCACGATAGATACTTCTTGTGTGACGTGTGTAGTTTTGATGTTGTTCTTTGTATTATCCCGTCGTCCGGTGGACTGAATTAATCAATCTCTATCGGCAGATGGGCTCCCGCGCGGAATCCTTGATACTGACTGTGTTTGAATCATATATTAATGATGGAATAGCACCGCTGACAGGGAGGCAAGTATATCCATCTGATGAGTCCCAAATAGGATGAAACGCGCGTCGTGGATTCCACTGCTAGCCACTATCGATCATTAATATTTGACCTACTTTGTGTACCTGTCTGAACACCTGTTTACTTTGTCATGCCGTTCTGAACATTCTTATTAACCCTTATACAATCCGTATCCTTGATTTCGTTGTCTCACAAATTACCTTTATTGGTTGATGTTTCATAAACATGTTGAAAAATGTGTATATTTGAGTGAAGCTTGATGAGATCTAGTTGAAAACAATATTGTTCCTCTAGGTGTCAAACAATTTTTACATTCTTCAGCATCTAAAAATATTAAATTTACTGAATATTACAGGAAATGATAAAACGCGTTCATAATTAACAGAAATACAAAAAATGACAAGGCATCTCACTTTTAGTTCATACTGACGAAAAAATATGAGTGACTTGAACAGATACAGAGCTTCATCAATAATGTCTCTTTCCAAATCTAGATTCATAGGTGCGGGCCCCCGGAATTTCGTCCGTAAAGGTAACAGAGCCATATTTCCTATAGTAGATGGAGCAGGCACGAATTCTGAATGGTAAGCCTTAATAAAAAAATAAAAGTACAACTAGTTAGCCGGAATCTTAATTAATCTTAATTTAATAGCTACACAAAACAAGAAAACAGAGCAGTCAACTAAAATAGTAGCAACAAAGTTATACTTTTGCATTTGTTGCTTGTATTGTCTTGCATTAAGCTCCAGAGGGGAAAATGTTTATTTGGGTCGGTTTTTAAAACAAATACGAGAGCTATGAAGTCACCTAGACAAACTGCTCTTTTCTTCGTTAGTAAAACTCACAGATACCTGAAAATATAAGAAAAAACAAACCACGCAATTAAAGGACACAAGGAGGGAAAACGATGTAGATAACTACCAGGAGGTATGAAACACATCTTAAAAAGCATTGGAAAAAAGACTTGTGGAACGGATGATGGAAGGACAAAAGATGAGGCGATAGGAAAGACACACTAGTAAAATAGATGGCAAGTAAAAGGTTTATTGTGAGCAATGAAAAAGGAAGGGGACATGTTGTTTACAGTAACTAAAACCAAGATAAATTAGCTTGGTGACACTTTCGAAACCGACCAGCTGAAGGTGGACCCAGTACATGGTCAAGGTTTAGGGGCTCGAATTCTCAAGCTACTAGCAACTTATCAGTAGTTCGAAGATCCGACCACAGATTGTTGACTTAATCCTCAATAGCAGGGTGCCGCATTTTCGATTAGATAAGACGACTAATTTTCTACCTACCTCACCAAAAATACATTGTTTGTACTTCCGCGTATCAGATATATGCATAAAAACCAGGCAAGCGTGACAAACCTTAAACATGTTTGAGAGCTTGTAACATTGTAGTTCTTTCACAAGAGCTTTAAATCGTCTGCATACTTTATGTCCGCAAGCGCGGGTCTTACGAAAAGACTCAAGCGTGAAGAGACAGACTTCTATGACCACTTCTATGGTAGATTACATACAATGAAGAGTGGTCGTTTTCGATGGACGTTACTCGGCGAAGATAATTTACTTGATACCCCATCATAGACTTCATTACAAAGCCCTCACCGGACATTGCCAAAAGACCTTCTAGTTGAGGGAGTAAAACGCTACCCTTAGGTCAAGAAATAGTGTCAGTATCAAACAATTGTAAGTATGGATCAGTTCACAAGTATGGCGGAACGAAGATGTTATCGATCCACTCACAACCAAGACTAAAACCTACCTGTTTTTCTTGAGATTGAAATTCCTGAGCTCCAACTATTATGTTGTTTCAATGAGGAAAGAACGGACAGAATTTCATAGTAAAACGACGCACATACGTTAACCGCATCCAAACTAAAACTACATACCTTAGTCAAGATAAAGGAGAATGTATACACAACTAAATCACTTATCTTAGATCTATAAAAACGTCAAATCAACAAAGATTCGAGAAAAGAGAGTTGCGAAACAATACAGTAGAATCATAGCGCTGATCATAGATATAATACTCTTTATCTGGACTAAGAAACGTCATTTTGTCCTGAGCAGACGATGAACAGGAGGTGCAACAAAATGAAAACATTCTATCCTGCAAATCTCTTTTTACCTTCTTACTTCATATTTATTAAATAAACAACGTGTGACATTATGCAATTTTTATTATTGACAACAAATCCTAAGCTTTCGCATTCCAGCAGTTAGACACACAAAATCAAAGTAGAAACTCACATATGAGTGCACCAGTCACAGTTTCCACACTTGACAAACACACACGAAGAACACGTGGATAGAAAAAGTGATATCCATGTAGACAAAGTTGTGTGAGAGAATAAGCAATTTGGAGATAGAGGTCAGTGCAAATATTCAAGTTTTAGAAGACGTCAAGGAGTGAATACATCTGTGCCATCGTGACTCATTTTCAGCCATGTCACCAAGAGTCCTCAACCACTGGTTCCTATCGTCTTGGGAATAGCAGCTAGACAGTCTACATCTCCCTAAACGGCTCACACGAACAGGTAGGAACTTCATGGGCTGGTGCTACGTCTTGGTCTGACCATCCTGAGTCTTCTGCTAAACTAATCCGGTCTCCCCTAGCATTAAACAAGTTGTCTGTTTTGCTTAGTAGCCTTCGCCTAACCTCAACACTTCTGACACGGTGGTTCCAGCAAACGCAAGCAATACTGCGAAGACTCCTATGATCGAAACCTTGTAACCGCTTCGTGTCTTCTACTTCCAACGGCCATGTCTCATAGCCGTATAACAGGATAGAACGGACTGCAGTGCATTATACTCGTCCTTTGGTAGATAGCCGAATAACTCGCCAGTTCGCGCCATAGATAAAACAAGTTGGCAAATGCTGAACTGGGCTTCTTTATCCAAGTCGAGATTTTGTCAGCAACCAGCCAGTTCAGCGGGCTGATGCAACTCCCCGAGTAAGTGAAGTAGTCGACATATTCCATCACTTCTCTCCCTACCACTAAACTGGGAGTATTCCCATCAGACCAGTCCTGAAGTATCATCTTACATTTGACAGGTGCGAGATGTATGCCAAACATACTCAGATTTCTGCTCAATGAGTTCAGAAGACGCTGCATTTTGTCAGCGTCACCTAGTAGGACAATGTTGTTTGCATACTCCAAATCAACCAGATGTCCTACAAGCAGATCAATCCCTGAGAAGTCAGAGCTGCCATCTAAGGTTACGTCCATTAGTACGTCTATAACGAAGTTAAACAGCAGCAGCTATTGCGCGCATCCCTGGTGGACACCACACATTCGTCAATTTCTGCGACAACTCTTAATGAGTTCTTAAACGACTGCATGAGTTCGAGTAGAGAACTCTGATAAGCTTTATATATTTTACCGGTACTCAATTCAGTCAGACAATGCCACAGCACCTCACGGTCTACAGAGCCAAATGACGCCTTCATCATCATCATCATCAATATCAACATAGGACCAGGCATTACTGCGTAACGGTCCGAGTCGCCACACTTCATATCAGTACACCAAGAACAGTTTCTTTATTCTTTTAAGTGAACTTATTCACTACTATCTTAGTCTTTTCCTCATGTTACGCTTCCTTACCATCAGCTTTCATATCCATATTGTTACCTATACCGATAAATATTTGAACCTAAACAACACTTACCGTAGTGCTTAGGTTAACAAGAGATCTACTCAAGTGGATTCCATAAACCCGTCTATGAAGCCGTTGACTGTTCATCGTCATCATCCACCCAAATCAACATAGGACCAGGTATTACTGCGTAGCTGTCCGAGTTGCCACATCTCATATCAGTACATCAAGAACAAGGCAGTGAAGAAGAAGATGAAGAAAAGATATCCCAGTCAAAAGAAATATAAAGTACGAAAAGAGAGAAAGGAAGAATGAGAAAATGGAGTGATTCGGTATGGCGTCGTTAAGATGAGGATTATGTGAGCATACATCTGCGTCACTGACATCGGTTCTGAGCCATATCACCTAGTCTCCAACCACTGGTTCCTCTCGTCCAGCAGACCCCAACCGGTTAGTCTGCATCGCCCCACATGGCTCAAACCAACAGTCACCGACTTCGTACATTGATGCCATGTTTTAGTCCGGCTACCTCGAGCCTTTTTCCAGTCTGAACCTACTTCGGTAAACATTGTGTGACGAGACGGATGGTGACTAGACATATGTAACACATGTGCCAACTATCTCAGTCGATGAAGGTTCACAACTGTGTCAAGTGACTTACCTCTTCTCCCTAAAACTCCACACCTGACGTCTGCATTACTCACGTGGTGACACCACGGAATACGGCCTATAATACGAAGGCGATGGTGGTCAAACACCTGAAGCCTTCTCATGTCTTCCACCTTCAATGGCCATGTTTCGCAGCCATAGAGTAGACGTCTTCAGGTCAAGAAGTATGGCAAGTATCTGCTGCCGGCATGCCTGTTTCAGAATCTGTCGGAGGGAAAAATATGATCTACGCACCCTCGTTCAGGCCTGAAACCTGCCTGGTTCCCTCGAGTCTGCTGTTCTCGAGCTCCAATTAGGCGTCAGATAACCATGGATTCTACGATACTACACAATATTATTATTATTTTGTCCCTTGAGTTCCTAGTGGGATGTAGGGCTTCAGTAGCACGTCTCCATCCCACTCTTTTCTCTGCAATCTTTTAAACCTGGCTCAACGACTGCCCACAAGCTCTCATTTCTTCCTCACACTGTCTCCTCCATATCACCCTAGCGCCGGACGCTCAACTCGTCGTTTCCCATGCGGGTTGCACTTGAGTGCCTGGCGCGTGATGTTTTTGAATGGTCTTCTCAGTGCATGCCCAATCCATCTCCACTTTCTTCTGCATATTTGTGGGGCGATGGGTTCTTGGTTGATTCGTTACCAGAGTTCCTTGCTGCTTATTTTTTCTGGTCATCTGAGCTTCAGTATCGAGTCAGCGTAGGCTGTAGCTGTTGATGAATATCTGTTTTTGGAAATCCCTTTCGTAACGCGTCAAGTCTCTGAACCATATAGAAGCATAGACTTGACACTAGTGTTGAAAATCCGGATCTTGTTCTTTATGCTGAGTGTAGAAGATCTTCAAACTGGTTCACGTTAATGAAAGCCTGTCTTGCTGTATTTTTGATTCTGGCCTTGACGTCCTCGTGTGTGCCGCTGCCTGTAGTTGAAACGATGCTGCCCTGACTAGGTAGGTGAAGGAGACTGCTTCCTTCAGGTTTCTACCGTTCATCGTGATTGGTGCTTGTTGTTGATGCTGTTGTTCGTTGGGTATCTTCATCACCTCTGTCTTCTCTACGTTCACCTGAATGAAGTACCGTCTTCACTGCTCTGCCTCTTCTGTCAACTTGTTGGTTCTCGTCTGTAGATCTTCCAGTTTGTGCGACAGGACATTAGACATAAATCATCATCGGCAGTGAGATCCAAATCTCCTTCTGGGGTCTTTTCATCTGTCCATGGCTCCTCACAGTTTGCTACATGATCCAGTCCACTACAATCACCGTGATAGTAGGCAGCCTTGTATTACTCCTGTCTTCACTTCAAAGGCATCACTGAGCTT